AACTTGCACAATCGGTGGCTGACTAAATACTTTTTTGCCCCACTGTATATGGCTATTTCTCAAAATAAATACATTTTAAATCCAAGTCACATATGGGCTCCTGCAGTTATGCCGTTAAGACTTTACTGCAGGTCTAAGTTTTGTTTTATTTGTTACCCGTCTGCAGTTCGCATGACAGGGACTGACAGAGTTGTGCATGCCTGTTTTTGACGCACACTCTTGAGCAGCTCTCCCCATATTGGCTGATGAGATTACAGTGCAGTAGGATTACACAACAACAAATGACAGGGCCTGGCACAGTCATTAAAACCAGATTTCTGCTCTCAAGCCAGCTGATTTAGTGATAGCAGTCTAGATTCATGTTAAATATCATGCGAAAGGATTCCATGCATATACCAAAAGCAGCTTTAAAATCAAACACATACTCAATGGAAGAAAAACTTAAGATAGTCTTTGTTATCAAACATATGTGGCTTAGAAGCAATTTTAAAAGAACAAATTCACTAGCAAAACCAGCCCAAACCAAAATGAATAAGTCTTTATTGTGTATTTAAAGGCAAGAGTTGCTGTTGTGCGCTTGGGTTTCAATGGCACAAAAATAGTTTTTAATCTTTTTCAGCCTTCTGTTAAAATGCAAGAACGACCATTATTGCAGGAAGGCTTTTGGGATTTGCCAGGTCTCTAACCCTGGGGATAACAAATCCAAGCCAAACAATACTTAACAAAACAACCAGAAGCCACCAAATGAAGAGCTAATGAAATCCTGCGGGTTTTAGTTGTACTTGGCAGCCTGTAAGTAAACGGAAACTAGAGCCCACCTTTCTTCATTTCTACATGCTACCCACGCCTGTGCTATCTGCAATAACTTGCCAAAACAACGTGCAGCTCCATCTACTGAAAAGCCAGAGTCTGCCGTCTAACACGCTGTTACACATAAAAACACTACAGTAAAAACGTTCCCATAAGGACACAGTTTTGATTCCAGGAAACCTTACCTTATTTCCTTGGCCCCATTCCCACATTCCGGGGGCTTGCATACCAAAGAGAGCGAATGGGTCCCTGCCGATGATAATCAGCCCAATCACCAGCAGTTTGAAAACAGACAGGAAGGAAGCAACGTGTCTGTGGAAACAAAACAAAAATATGTTTAGATATGGATTTGAATACAGATCTTATACGTGATAGCATAAAGCAGACAGAGCTTGTTACTGAAGTAAAATCTCTCCAAAATCTTTAGTTTTACATTGTGAGACATTGAAAACAATGGTTAAAGACTCTGAGGGGGCTTGATACCATCTCCATTTCTTTTGCACAGCTTTTCTCGTGTGTATTCATTAGAAGCCCAGAAAAATACCTAAGAGTCTCAGTAACACCACACCTTAACTACAACACCTGGGACTGCTACACAAATACATCTCACATGTAATACAAATACAATCCAATTCTCCAGGCAATGATTCCTCAAAATGCCAGACTAATTATTCAGAAACCAAGTTATAGTCCATCTAAAACGGTAAACACAAAGAAACAGTTCCATAGCAACTAGAATACAATGAGAAAGATTTCATGTGTTATTTATAAGTTCTCTTTTGAACTTTATTATCATAAGTCACAGTGCTGATTGTTGTACAGATGGACTTGTTGGTTTAGCTAAATACCCAATGTTCTGATGCAAGTCTTGATGCATGCTCAATCATCCAGGTAAGTAAATCCCAAAAAGTTGATTCTGTTCATCTGGATGTAGTGTTTTCAGTGGGAGAAACATTTCATTACTCATCCAAGTGACTTCTTCAGTCTCAGCTGACTGCAGGTTTCCCCAACCTTATAAACAGTGCATTGCATTATAACTGAAACCAGCCCACTGATTGAATAATGGGCTGTTAGGTCAGTTCCTTGATCATTAATATGCTGGTTTTAGTTATTATGCATTTACGCATGTCATAGTGCCTGGTACTTTTTTTTAGTAAATACTTGACCAGGGGTCTAAGCGATCCGAGCAGGTACTAAAATGTGACATCATCAGACTGCATGCCACCGATTGGCTGGTCAGTAGCATCACTTATCTCGTTCACAAAAATCAAAATCTGGAAATGAGAGAAACAGCTACAAAAACAACGCTGTGTTTCCAGAGTCTAGCGTTCACATCGTGGGATGCTCAGACGTGGTGCTATGACTAGGGATGGGTATTGATAAGATTTTCACGATTTCGATTCCATTTTCGATTCTGTTTAACAATTCGATTCTTTAAAAAATTTCTTATCGATTCTTTTTTTTTAAAAAAAAGGAGAACACGAAGGTGAATACTAAGGTCGAATAGCTTAGAACTTTTTATATCTTCTCTTTGAACAAGATAAAAATTTAGGAGTAACATGGCCTTACAAACCCAACAGTGACATCTTAAGAGATCCAGCCTACGGCTCTTCAATGGGGTGTCACAGGGTCCCCAGAAAAAAAAAAAAAAAAAGTAAAATAATAAAATAAATATTCTTCTGTAGCAATAACAAAGTATAACATAAATTATTCTGTAGCAATTACACAAGAATATCCAGTAATGTTCCTGCCTACAATTAAACACATTCACTTACCATCTGCTGTGGCAAATGGGTGCAGGCCTTTTACCACAATCTTAGCCACTGCTCTGTGACATTCGTCTATCCTGGCCTGAAAGGAGATGTTAACGGTAGACTGCAGCGAGAACTGCCAGCATCTGAGCCAGACTGTCTGTCTGTCTCTCTCATCATGATCACCTAAATGCACAGTAATGGCAGGGTTTGTAATAAGGCAGATCCCGCTAACATAATATGCACTGTTAGTTGATTATTTACCTGCCACATTAACGGGAGAGGACGTGCAAACGTTACCGCTGCTGCTGGGTCCGAAGCGGAATTAAAAACACGACATTCATTTAAGGTTATCGCGTGTTTTGTGAGCTTTTGCATATTCGTAGTGTTTCCTCCCTTAAATGAAAGGTCTACTTTGCAAGTATTGCAAGTTGCCCTGTTGTCATCTGTTCTCATAAAGTATAATCAAACTTTTGAGCGTTTGAGCCGCCATGTTTCCTGCCAGGTAAATGACGCTCCGCAACGTGGTGACGTCATTCGGGGCGACTGGAATCGATAAGGGAATCGTTTAAAAAAAAAAAAATAAAAAAAAAGGCAAACAACTCCAAGGAATTTAAACAGTGGGAACCGGTTCTCAACAAGAACCGGTTTTCGATACCCATCCCTAGCTATGACGACAGTCACGTGTGTTAGGTACCACTGCTTTGTAATAGAAAACCAGTTGATCCAAGTCTAGGTGTGGTAATCCATGGCCAGTAGGTACTAATGGAAAAGGGGCTTAGGTACCAAAGTACTTGGTACTACAACCCAATGGAAAGTCCTTGAAAATGAGTTCAGCCATGGCGAGCTAATCTTAGTAGGTACGAGTGGAAAAGGGCTATAAGAAATATGGGAAGTGGTGGATTTGGTCATTTGGAACAGATTTTTCATTACCCTCCCAAGTTAAGGCTACATTACTATTAACTAATACCTAATAGACCATTACGTATGTCATATAATCCTACACCATAACAAAGCTATACATTTTTAAAAACTGAAGGGAAAAAAGTGCATGTCCCCACCCACCCATTTACATTTCAGAAGATTTCTGACTTCATTTATGTTGTTTCTTTCTTTTTTTTTTTTTTTTTATATCTTTATAGTTTTTAAACTTCTATTTCTGTAGCTTTTTGACCTGTTATATCTTGTGAAACAAATTTATCTGTAATGCTGACCCTGCATTAACTTAAAATGTGACAAATAAAACTAAAACACTAAAATAGTATGACATTCCACTTAATTTACATTTAAATACTTTAGCTGAAACCATCACATCCATGCCTGTACTGTATACACCAAGGAAGGTATGCAACTTAAGCCCCATGGCCTGAAAATTTAAGCAATTAAGGAATGCATCACAGTTGTTTGGATTTCCTGCGGAGAGTACCCATTTAACATCTTTAAAACTTGGGAATGCAAAATGAAGTAAGCTGGAGTAAAATTAGCCCAGTTCATCTAACAATTTATCTATTGCTGACATTTCGATTTGATTTGTAGACATTTTCTTCATTGGAGTGATTTTAGGACACTGGATCAAAACATCTTTAAAAAGGACAGCAGTTTAAGCAGTGTCTACCAAAACTACCAGACACCAATCCATGGCCAGATATGTTCGTGCTTGAGAATTTCACTTCCTTAGACAAATCACGGCTAATCCCAGGGAGCTTTCAGCCCACTTTAATAAGGCTCGACTTAATCCACTTGTAACAAGGCAGGCAATCTTTCGCTCTCGCTTACCGATACATGGGAACAGGAAGATAGTTCTCCCCTTCAATGCGGATGTCTGGGTACCGCTGGTACAAGGCCTGCGTGTACTCCTCAAACACCCGCTTGTATCCTCAGGAAATGCTGTGGGGGGAAACAAGGACACTGCTAGAAAGCTGAGCACAGTCTAAAGTCAAAACAGGACAGGCTAACAAAAGGTTACGTTGATGATTTAGCACGAAGATTTGAATTTTAAACTTCTCTGTTGATCATTTACTCAAAAGTTTTATATGTGACTTGGCAGCAGCGCGTTATCATACATGAAAGCTGCATGTTCACCTTTGTGGGCTGTGTTTGCTTTAGTGACTAGCTTATTTACATTGCAAACGTGGCCTTAAAAAAATACTTTCCTCGTACACAAACGTCAAACAAAATGAGAGTTTTCAGGTTAGCACACCGCCTCCTGGTCAGGTTAATATTTAGAGTAGTTAGTGGACTAATTTGCCTAAAATCTCCAAGTCTATAAGCGAAAACAATATGTTAAATTTACCAACAATAACTGCAGACCAGTTATTTTACTGTAATCTGGGGAAAAAAAAATCCTGTCGTCGTAGCGTAACAATGATAACACATTAACATGACCCACACACAGTAGACGGTTTATTAAAGGTTTAACAGCGGAAGTGGAAGCCATGTTTTCCACCAAATGTTTACGAAAAAAGTGCAAAAAATTATCGACTTCCAGAAAATGATTTCAGTAGAGCTTTTGACAACTGTTTATTTGTTTAGTTTGAACAACCCGGAGCGTTGTTATTTCCTAACAAACATCCGGTAAATTAACCTCCTATCGGCGAGCGTTTATTTTAGGCCTGCGACACTGTTAGCCGGGGGCTAGCGTGCAATGACTCGCCAGTTTTTTGGCTCATTTGCTTACCAGATTTGAAACCTGAGAAGAGGTCCAGTGGCAAACTGCATCTTCATTTTCTTTATGCCGCTGCTGTCACCAGCCGTGGCACAGCACAGGGAAAACACCCCCAAAACCAGGAGCGAGAACCGTATCCACTTCATGGCTATCCTCTTCGACGGTCTCTTCCTTAACCCGTCGTACGCAGGCAGGTTAATCTGTACATTTCGCTTCTGGTTGGTCCCTCCTTTTCCTCTTCATCCAATCGCAGGTTTTAACTAGTACTGGTTTCATCTTTAGCACCACCTCCCGCTCTGGCAGTTCAACTGATTGACAGAGCCTTTGGGCTAATAAAATATAACAACATGGATCACCCCATCTTAACCTCCTAAGACCTGAACTCTTCTACGGCATGCATTTTTAATTTCTCTTTGATATTTGGGCATATTGGGGCCCAATGAACGTAAAACCAAAGAATTACCACATTTTCTTTACCTTATTTTTGTTTTTAAGAAAAATAAGAGCCCCATATGAGGATATTCGTTTAAAATTTTGATAGAACAGTAGCAGTATATAACCTTGTAAGTGGAAATCAGGCCCCTGTAAAGCAAAATTGAGTATTTTGGTCTAAATAACCCAAAATGTGATGTCCACATATGTGGATGCCAGGTCCTAGGAGGTTAAAGATGGGATATTTCCTTAGTGGGTGTTTTGATAATAGTGTTGCAGCTGATCGGATACCTACTAAGGCCATATGGAGCAACACTTACACTGGCAAAATTCATGGAGTCATTGTGCACCATCATTCCCCCTTTTGAGATCAAAGTCTCATTATAGGATAGGGGCCATCAAAATGTTATATTGATTTTAAGTTAGCCTTCCCTCACAGGGGCCAAGTCAAATAATAGAAGCAAAATATTCTATAGCAGCTATTTGCTTTTACAAAAAACAAACAAACAAAAAAAAACCCAGAAACCATCAACTTAGTCATTCAATTATTTATACAGAGCCACATCTGACCAAGAATAAATCAATTCTGTTGAAATTTCAAATCTGAATCATAGTTTTGAAAGAGGTGAACTATGTTCACCTATAATGCAGAAAAGAAATCATACTGCATTCTTAGTGGTGGTACAATTTATTTAATGAGGTGCATAGACAACTTCAATGACCAATTCCATCAAGAATGAGCCCTCCAAAACTTGTCTCGATTTTTTAATGTACATGTATCCAATTCTGCACTAGAAATGAGCTGTCTGCCTAAAATATATAAAATCACATATTTAATGAATAGTGTTCAAAAACATTTTATTGAATACACAGAAGTTAATACAATGAAACAAATATAGTACGAACAAAACACAATTTTCTAATAAAACAGCTCGTTACTCAGAAGAGAAGGTTTTCTGCTTGATTTAGTGATTCAGCCTCGCTGATCGCTCCTGATCCACAGCAGACTGCAAAGCCATCACTGTCTCTGTGGATGAAACAAATGAATGTAAAGCACACCAAAGTAAATCCTTTCTTAATCCTTTGTCAGGCTATACATTTAATTTTGACAAAACAAGATGACTGTTTGGCATCTATGCATTTTTCTCCCAATCTCACCCTGAAAATAATGACTAAATACAGCAGGAAAGTGTTTAGAGAGGTCACATTTGGAAACGGTTTTTCTTTCTATAGTAACAAAATTCTTTTTACAAGCCCTAGGTATTGCCCCCTGGTGGCCATTAAAAAGAATAGAATTTTAAGACAGAGTCTACACCTTTATTTAAAACAAAAAAACAAACAAAAGAAAAAAAGGCTGGAGCTGTGTTAGAAGGGGTAAAGTTTTGTGTAATGAGCAAGCAGATTTAGTACATTACATTAACAAAACAAATCAAGCAATATTTTGGTTGGTACAAACCCAATAACTTTTTGGAATGATCAACCAGATTGGGGAGTCCTTCCTCGATGTTGTATGAGATTTGGCCCATTTCTTGTACGAGGTCACCTCCCCTCTGAGTAGAAAAAAAAATAAAAAAAAATAGGCGAAATTACTAATTTAAAAAAATAAAATGACATTGTAACTTGAATCCTGGGAAAAAACATACAAAGTTAGGAAAACTCTACCTTGAGCTCTGAATAAACTTTCTCCTCCAGCTCAGCCACCTGAGATATGGCATCATACACACCGGTATCCAAAACTGATTCCTACATCACAAAAAGAGTGACAAGTTAAATCCGAGAAACTTCCACACAGGTTATAACTGGATTCATGCTGTGCAAGCTTACCTCTTCTGAGGAGCTATTCATTGGCTCCTGTGTCTTAGGTGCTTCACTGGCTTTGGAATTGCCATTAAGTTCCTTCACTCTGCAGAAAATGTTTCAAGCTTCATCATACAATAAGGCGACTGAGAATTCCCATTAGAAAAAAAAAAAAACAAGCCCACAGATTCAGAGCTTCATATGCTAAATACATACCTGTCAGCATAGCGCAATGTGTTCATTGTATATTCACATGAGGTCATACCTGGAGACACCATAGCAATCTGTGAAACAAAGAAAAAAAATTATTTGATGTGGATTTCAAAATATCCAATGCTGAGAGGAAGTCAAATTTGGTGTGGTAACATACCATGCAGGTCCTGGACTTCTCTCCAATGAAAGAATCCCTGAGGACTTTGGTCAAAGTGCTCATTCGGAAAGGAATGTGATCACTGTTCTTTCCCAGTGAACGGATACACTCCTACAGGATACAAGAGAGGAAACACCAGCGTTTTGAGTTGCTGTGCATACATATTTAATGGAGAGAAAACAGAGTACTTCTGCCTTTTAATCAGCCATCGCTTACCTTGAGAGCCAGAAGGCTGCGGTTGATCTCGGCAGTTTCAACTAAAGTACTCCGGTCATTGCTGCTGACATCTGTACCACGCTCATTGCCAGCCAAATCGACCAGTGAAAACTTGCCGTGCAGCGTGGTAGCACGGTCATTGCGCCGAAGAACAATTTGAAGGATTGCATGAGAGCGGGATGAGTTGGCATTGGCTGAGGTTTGGCCCGACGTTCTGGAAAAGACAGTGAGATTCTAACTTAGAGTTTGCCTACCTACGGTACACTAATGGGTAATTAATACGTTTTTGTGCCCTTTCAGCCACAAAGAAAAATGCACAAGGAAACATCAAACACATTCTTGATACTAAACTACCTGCATGAACTGCCAATCTGTATCATCTTGATGACCTCCTCTGCTGAGGTCACATAGACCTCTTCGAGGCCGACCACCTGAACCTGTTGTCGTTCATCTTCCAAAACACGCAGCTTGGCCTTCTTATGCAGCAGGTCATACACCTAAATAAAAATAAATAAATAAATAAAGGTCTAATTTGCTATATGGATTAATTGAACACGTGGATTCAATAGATATCTTCTGAGTGAAGGGTGTTCCCTTCACGTCTTCCTACCTTGCCGTTGTAAATCTCAAAGAAGCTGACGTAGGCAGAGAGATCCAAATTAGCATACCTCCTGTGGTGGAGGTAGGCAAAAACATCCTGGGCTAGAAGTGAATAGACTCAAATTATGACAAAGTC